AACTTTCAGCTTGAAAGTCAACAGTGTTCGCTCAGTCACTTACCTGCAATGCTGCACAAGTCTTAGGTTGAGCAGAACTACATATTTCGGGCGGCGAGCTTTCCACCACAGTGACTTCAGACAACTTACGAAGACTCGTGACATCCTGGGAATGTCTTGGTGTAGCTAAATCATTAGCTCGACCACTTCGCTTCACTGTTGTTTGTCCATCAGCTTCTACAACCTCAACAGCCTTCGATATATACTCACCAAGTACCGCTTCGCCGCACTGCACATTACCAACCTGTGAAGTGCCAGAACTCCGAGATTTCCTGTTCTTCGACGAGGCCGCTTTGCTCGGAGCATTACTCTGCCGCGGTCTTTTAGGCTTATTCTCCGGACTGGAAGGTACAACTGCCTCGATATCAGAGGCGATTGGAGCTTTGCGATCGATACACTGTGGTAACCATAATAAGTCTCCCGTATATAGCTTCTCTCGAGCTATCACACGAAAAACACCGTTGTGACCTTCGTCTACAACCACCTTCACCGGTGAGCTCTGGTTGGATTCCTTGATATTGACCTTCTGGAGATCTGCTTTTCCTTTAAGGATGTGCATGCCGTTGAAGACACTCGTTGAGCCACATAGGTACATCTTACCACACTCTAACATATGAGGTGAAGACTTATTCTACACCGAAGACCACTCGTATACTTTAACAGGCATCTCGACCGATATAACACCGATCTTCCACCCATTTGGGGGGAAGCCACGAGGCGCTTCACATTTATTAGGTGAGCGAGAGCTGCTGATATGGTCTGTAGTATAGGAAGGGTCTCCGGCATCAGCAGCTATGATATCGACGACGCTCCTCGCCCTAGCGCATACGTGAACAAGACCATCGAATCTGCGGGAACGGCATGAGATATTCGAAACTAGAAATGTACGAAAGGAGTCCTGGGGAAACCCCAGTGGGATAGCAAATAAGATTTTTCCACCTGAATATTTCATCATCCGGCTCGAAAGTGTGCTTGGCATACAGCCAGGTTCCGCCATCCTTCTCTAACACTGTCACGTTATCATTGAATATTTGAAAGCTTTTTGCCCTAATTTCCTCACCGCTGAGCATGCGGATTCGCGCGTTTATCTGCCAACAAAGACCAGTAGCAACACCTGCTATGTCAAATGGTACTCACGCTCGCTAGCGGAGCTTCACGCCATTCAGGAAGGCGAATACTCGCCCTGTAGTGAATGGGGACCTGAAAGAAATCTGTACTGCCACAGTAGCATCCTCATTCAGCACACAGTAACCTACAATCTACTCCATACTATCCAGCATGGATACTTCGAACTGCTTCTCCTCTTCACTCGTCATGTCTCGTCCTTCAGAGATCCAAATCACTTGCCTCCTGGCACCCATCATAAAATCCAGAGTTTCTGTCACATGCCGTTGAGGGAGGGCGTGAAGCGGTGCGAATGCCCGGGTACGTAAACCTGAGATACATATCATTGAAACAGACTGAAATTTGAATCGACCCCTCGGTCATTAGATTCATACGATATAAAATCGAGCTCAAGACTGGACGAACGTAAATCGGAGTCTCATTTTCTATCGGTGATTGTTTCGAGGCTTTAAATTTCGAGCTATGAGTCACAGTCTATGAGCCATTAGCATCTCTGCGCAGCAAATATGCGAAGAGTCGAGATAGCC